TATATATATATATATATATATATATATATATATATATATATATATATATATATATATATATATAGACACACACGGAGTATATTACGGAGTAAATGCATTTGTTGAGATACTAGGGGTAATTATTAGGATTATGCTATGTGTACCCCAAGGTTTGTACCCCGCAGTTTTGCACCAACACTTTGTGTTGGTGTAAAACTAATTTTTGTTAAACGCACCAACATTTGTGTCCATGCGAATTTTTATTAATGCACCAACACTTGTGTCGGTGTAAACCATCAAAATGTTTGTGCAATCTTGTGGTGTACAAATGAGGTATATTTTTTTGGTGTAAGTGTAGCATGGTCCTAATTATTACTCGAGACAATTATTCTTCAAGCTAGATTAGATTGGTACAGTAGTATGTTTACTTGAATTGCTTTCCTGTGGGCCTTCCGATTTGTATGCAAATAAAAAGGACTCGATCACCTCCTTCATTTCATTTTTATGCTTCCTTTATTTAATTTGTTTCATTTCCTTCCACCTTTTGTTTTTAGGGTTTTGCAATCACAGGCCAGGGAGGAGTTGATCATGATCGTCAGGACGACCAGGGGATTCAGCAGCCGGCCGCCGAGGGCAGCCGCCGTAGGCCTCGACGGATGCTTAAAGATGAAGGCGGTGTTCCTCTTCTTCTTCTTCCTCACCCTACTTACAATAATAACTGTCACCCTAAAGGCGGTGCCGTCTTCGGCACCGGCGGCAATGCAACCTCCTCTCCATCAACACTCCTCCCTCCACAGGTTTGTATAGTTATACTACAAGTCCTGTCTGCCTGTCTGTCCTAAAAATCTTTCTTGTTTGACTTTCATTTGACCACAGCAAAGGATACACCATTTTGATGAACACGTGGAAACGAAACGATCTTCTCGTGCAATCGATCTCCCACTATTCCTCGTGCCGCGGCCTTGCTTCCATACACGTCGTCTGGAGCGAGCCCGACCCTCCGCCCCCTTCGCTCACTCACCGCCTCAAAAGAGCCGTCCGTTCGCGCTCGCCGCCAGCCAACGGCAAGCGGGTCGAACTCAAATTCGACATCAACGCCGAAAACAGCTTGAACAACAGGTTCAAGGAGGTCAACGGCTTGCAAACCGACGGTGTGTTTTCAGTTGACGACGACGTGATCATTCCTTGTTCGTCTGTGGCTCTTGCCTTCGACGCCTGGCGCAGTGCGCCCGATGCCATGGTAGGATTCGTTCCCCGCGTTCATCACTCGGTACGTATAGTACCTGTAATTTTTGTCTCGATAAAAAAGACAAAGTTTGACCGCGTGAGTAGCCGACATAAAATGATGATGGGTGAGATTGGATTTGTTGAATTGTTATGGTAGGATGATGGTGGGGGCATTAATGGGGAGAGGTACAAGTATGGTGGGTGGTGGTCAGTGTGGTGGATGGGAAGATATAGTATGGTTCTTTCAAAAGCTGCTTTTTTTCACAACAAGTATCTTAGCTTGTACACTCATCAAATGCCACCCTCTATAAGAAACTATGTGACTAAAAACAGGTAGGTCCATATTATATTCTTTCTAGTTATTCATTCTTCTGATCCTTTCCTTGCCATAATCTTAATTTAATTTGTTCCAGTTGGATTTTCTTGATATTTTGCCTGAGCAATAATAGATTTATGAACAATAACCAAACAGGAATTGTGAAGATATCGCCATGTCATTCCTTGTGGCTAATGAAACAAATGCTCCTCCTATACGGGTAGAAGGTTATTATTTGTTGTTGTTGTTATTATTATTATTATTATTGTTGTTGTTGTTGTTGTTAATTCATTTATTTTTTATGATGACGTGCAGGTAAAATATCTGAAATTGGGTCAAGTGGAATTAGTAGCTTGGGGGGTCACACTGAAAAAAGGACTCAATGTATGAATATGTTGGTTGATGAGTACGGGAAAATGCCGTTGGTCACCACCTCCGTCAAGGCCGTCGACAGCCGCCGCATCTGGTTTTGGTGATGATCCAAAACCGCCACGAATATCTTAGTTTGATCGACTTAAATATTTTTACCTTTTTTATTGACTCGAATACAATCCTTTATATATAAAAAGGAGACTCCATTCTTTAAGAACTTGACATTTGACATATTAAAAACTCGACATGTGGCACATTAGGAATTTGACATGTGGCATATTGGGTGGTAATTTAACCAAATTTACTCTATTTCATTATTTCACATTTTTTACTCTTTTTCAAAAATGATATGGAGTAATTACTTATTTTGAACCCATGAATTCAAAATTAGAATTAAAATTATTTTACGTGTAAATTATTACTTTTAATAAAATATCATTTTTAAGGACTCTACGTACATATATTTTTAATACATGTCTCGAATTCATTAAATGATAAAATTTACAAAACATTTTTAGAATAATAAATAAAATACACTCCTCACCCATTAATATATTTTATATTTATTCATTATACATTTACATGATATTCCTTTGATTGTATTTATTCAAATATTGACACCTATTAAATAAAATATTTCCTTTACCTATAAAATAATTTTATGTTTTTATGACACTTAATTTGTCACTTAATTTAAGGTATAAAAAATGTGAATTCAATATTTTGGAATAAAATATTCGAATCGATTTAATTGTTAAAGAGAAACATTCATTTTTAGGAAAATACTCTTTACAACAGAATACAATATTT